TGAGGTTCGATACTCAAAACAGGCAAAATTATTTTCTCTTCGACACAACGTCCAAATCGCCTTTCGGTCCCACTAAATTTGAAACATTTATGACATGAATTTATATAACGCATTTAACATGCTTTCTGTGTTGGATCCTATTAAATTCAAGAGCTACTTAGAAAGAAACACGACTTGTACTCAGAGTTACCTCAATTTCGCGCAATACAGCGCATATTACGTTCGGGTCTGATGCCGAAACGGCTTCCTTATCGCAATAATGAACCTTTCGTCTTACATCAAGCAGCGGGCCGTTGTTTCTAGAGAGTCAGCTGTATAAAATGTGTCAGTTTTAGTTCGCCTGTTCAGTTTGCAGTCTAGCCGAAAGGGTTACAGGCCCATGTAACTTAGATCCAGACATGATAAACAGCGCCCGAAGGAAGCCAGAAATCACAATGACAATTTATACGCCTACAGAAGCAACTACTGCATTGTTGTGTGGCCTACCGATTGGCAAAACAATTACGAAGAACCTGTCTATTAGAAGCGAGTGGGTGATACGAGGAATGCATGTAGGATATTGGTGGGAAAGCCAGAAGGAAAGAGACCACTGAGAAGACCAAGGTGGGTGGACAATATTAAAATGGATCTTAGAGAGATATGACGGGATGGTGTGGATTGGATTGATATGGCTCAGGATAGGAACCAATGGTGGGTTCTTGTTAACACGGTAACGAATCTTCGGGTTGCATAAAATGCTGGGAAATTATTCAGTAGCTGCAGAATTGGCGATTCCTCAAGAAGGGCTCAGCTCCATTAGTAAGTAAGCAATTTATACTAGAAGAGATGGAAGAAACTTGGGATACCTGTATATAGATAGGCGGATAATATTAAAATGGATCTTGGAACAAATAATTTATGTGGACAATTCCTTATGTACTATACTTATTAGGTACGTGATAGGGAACAGGAAAGTTAATTCTACATATATATTACAGTAATAATCCGAATTTGGGCAAAACTTTACGCGCCGAACCTAGGCTCCATTGATCTGTTGGCTAAACCCCGCAGAAAAACAACTATTCGCGTCTTAATTGGGGGGGTTTGCCACTGACTGTTGGTAAAAACTTACGTTTCATGAGAAGCCGGTAAAAATAAGAAAATTATTCATTATTATTATTTTAAAGAAAATTAAAATGTACAATATATAGAGAAATTATATAGTAGGGTATAAATTTAGTAACTCTTGAAATTTTTTTCCATTTTCGGTTTTATAAACAACAATTTTAGCAGCACTGTTTAGTAAGGGCTCGGCGCATAAATCCTAAACAAACTCCGTGGCCTCTATACCGACCGAGCGACCAGCGCTTATCGGAGAAGTTAGTGCTGACTTTTGCGGATAGAGGGGTACCGCGTGATCAGCGCAACGGTTTCCCACGGCCGTTAATTTCGGTTTTCTAGACCGGAGCCGCTATTTCCTCGAAATAGTTCCTCAATTATCCTCACGAGGCTGAGTGGACACCGTTCCAGACCCACCCACTACTTCTAAGAAAATATGGTAGCGCCGGGAATCGAATCCGGGACCTCTGGATCTGTAGCAAGGAACTCTGACCTCTAGACCACAGAGGATGTCCTAAGTTTTACCAAAATTCGGTATTATGTTAATATACACCAAATAAACCGTCCATAATAATTTATCTACATAATCCAAATTGATGGCATGAAAACAACAGTCCGTTAGCTACCCTCATGGAGCAGTTTGGCGTGGGGTTAAAGCCCTGAACTCGGGAAGCGCCTGGTTCGAATCTCGGCTGGGGCAATGGCTATCCTAACCGAAGACTTTCGTGCTTTTCATAAGTTCGTCAACCCATATGCCGAGATAGTACCTCAACTACGCTATTCACTGTTCACCAATTATCCCAAAATTCCACGTCATATAATCTGAGATACTAAATGCGTCGTTGAACAAATCACACATAAAACTGTCAATTACTTTCATACCAAATTTGGGGCACGCGGTAGCGTAGTTAGCTGAGGCACTATGCTACAAGCCGGAAGGTCACGGGTTCGATTCCCGATGAGGTCATTGGATTTTTCAATTGACCTATTCCTTCCAGCCGCACTATGACCCTGGGGTCGACTCAGCCTCTAACAGAAATGAGTACCAGGAATATTCCTGGGGGTAAACTGCGGCCGGGGTGAAAGGCTGACAACCTCACCGTCATCTGTGAGAGGACTGTCTAGAAAATGTGGGAGCCTCGACGTCTCACAACCCTCTGGGCCTTCACGGTGTGTAACAGGATAGCTTTGTACCAAATTTAACGAAAATCTGGCATCCGATCACGTACTGGTAACTNTGCGGCCGGGGCGTAAGGCTGGCAACCTCAACATCTGTGAGGGGACTGTCTAGAAAATGTGGGAGCCCCGACGTCTCAAAACCGTATAGGCCTCTACGGTGTGTAACAGGATAGCTTTGTACCAAATTTAACGAAAATCTGGCATCCGATCACGTACTGGTAACTTATATCCATAAGAATTCACATCTTAATTCAAAACTCTCTTAACTGCAAATGTTGGCCAGACGTTCCTTTCCGCTGCAGTGTGTGTCCTGACCACAGGGTGACACAACACTACCTTACTGTTATTGGTACTGCGCACATGTCCGCAAATTGCAATGCGTTTGTCAACTGCCACAAAGTCTTGCATATTCCTGCAAAACTCGTTTCCAGACCAGCTAACAAGATGGCATCCGCTTCTTTACAGAGTCAGACATGACTAAAATTTTAAATAACTATTTTATACATTAATACAAATGAAAATTACAGAAACAAAGAAATAAAAACATTCCAGACGCCTAGCGCTGTAATTCATTGTTCGTGCCTTCAATGGCAACCAACTCAGTTATACTAAACGCGAATTAAGTTCATTGAGACGAGCTCTTCTTGACATGCAGCCAGTTTTGCAGCTACTCAAGAATTTCCCAGCATTTTATGAAACCCCATTACCGTGTTCACAAGAGCCCTCTACTGGTCCCTATCCCGAGCCAGATCAATACAATCCATACCACCCCATGCCATCTCTCTAAGATCCATTTTAATATTATCCAGCCACCTACGTCTTTGTCTTCCTAGTGGTCTCTTACCTTCTGGCTTCCTCACCAATATTCTACATGCATTTCTCTTCACTCCCATTCGTGCCACATGCCCTTACCACCTCAACCTCCTTGACCTGATCATTCTAATTATACTTGGAGAAGAGTACAAGTTATGAAGCTCCTCATTATGCAGTTTTCTCCAGCCCTCTTCAGTCCAAATATTCTCCTCAACGCCCTGTTGTACTAAATGCTATATACAGACAAATCAATTTCCAATGGAATTCCAACGGGCCTGAACATTTGTTTCCGTTTCATACAGTTTTCTGAATAACAAAGGTAGTTGTCGGACAGGGCTGCATAGCGGCAGCGCGCTAGAATTGTACTCCATAGGTGCTTGGTCCCGACTCAATCACTGGACCAGTGATTGAGACTAGCTCTTTCTAATGGGCCCAACTGAGTAGGTTTATCCTGCCCTAACCACCTGAAGACGGAGACAGATCCAGTCTCCGAAACGTAGTGGTCTTTTATCTTTTACAAACGAGACAATGGATGAAGTCCAAAACAAGCCAAAAGAAATTATTAGTCCTTGTTATGCTTTTCTGG